CATCAGTGCAGTGTTTCTGAATATAAATTCAATCATACAAGCCCAGAGATTTTATATATATATATACATATTTATATACAATTATGTGAAGCAAAATATTAAGTATAAGTTCTGATTAAACAATCTCTGAAAGGCTTTTATCTGTTTATCTGATGGGTTTAGCTGATGTGTACAGGACAGGCTAGACCCAAGAAAAATGAGACAAAACATATTAAAACCACTCTGTTGGGTGTTTCCTTTGCTTTACACAAGGTTTTAAATTTAGTAAAGTCCTGTTTATTGATTCTTGGTATTATTTATTGTGCCCATGGGATTCTGTTGATAAATAATGGCCTATGCTTACGTCTTCTAGAGTTTTCCTATTTCATCTTCCAGCAGAGTGTTTCTGCTTTAATGTTTAGATCTTAGATTCATTAATACAACATAACTGACCATCACCAGATGAATGAGTAGAGCCAGAGGCCTGCCATACCATCATGAAGTGTGTGCAGATCCCAGGGAGCAGCTGTGTGGACCAGAGCAGTGCGGCTACAGGAGGAACAGAGCCAGGGTCTCACTGTGACCAGAGTTGCAGGCACACCATGCAAGCCAAAGTCCCTCCCAGAAAATAGGTGCACAGGTGCACAAGCTTCAGCCAGAGGCCTGCCATAACATCTGCCACAGCCAAGGGCCCACCTGCAAAAGAACTAAACAGATGCATGAGGACCGGCCAGAGGCTCAACCCCATACCATTGATAAGTGCCAGAAGCCTGTGTAGACAACAGGAACTGGGGTACAAAGCCCCTGGCCAAAACCCCTCTCAGACAACAGCTACATAGGGGGCCCAGTGAGAGGCACAGCTACATACTATCCCAAATGTCCACAGGCCACAGCCTGAAGACCCCCCAGATAACAGGTCACCTCAAGGATCGAGAAGGCCAGGAATCGACACAGTGGTGAGCAGCAGAGAGATGGCCTCTCTGAAGCCTGCTGAGAATTGAAGACCACTCGGTGAGCAAAAAGTCTCCTCAACAAAGGCACAGGAGGCTGCATCTGTTGAGTTGTGAAGACACACAAACAAGTCTCAAAACCATATTTCAAGATCACCTAAGGAAACCTCAAAAGACAACAAGATGGAACAATCTGATACTCAAACAGCTGAACACCTTGAACTGGCAGAGAAAGAGGACCTAGAAAAAATGAAACCAGAAAATAATGTCTCAGATCACAGCAGAGAATGTGCCCATAGTGTAAGACGTGATTAACACATCTAGAGCAGACACAGATGAGAAAGGAGAGCAGCTGAGGAACATGATGGAATCACAACATAGGAAAGACACGCAGCAGAGCAATAGCTGGGTCTAATGGAACCTGTAATCCCAGTTGTTTGAGGTTTCTCCACACTAATTTCCTCATTGGTTGCACCAGTCTGCACTCCCACCACCAATGGAGAAGGGTTCCTATCTCCCCACAACCCCGCCAGCATTTGTTATTGGTTGACTAAAAGATAGCAGCCATTCCTTGTGGTGTGGGGTGGAATCTCAGTGTGATGTTTTTGTCTAACGTTGCTTCTGTATCTCCACTTCTGTCTATCAGCACCACATCCTCTTGTGTGGCCTGAAAGCGGTTATTGTTGTGCAGCTTCTTGCGTATCAGTAATGCCAGGCAGTGTGAACTGTGCTGGGAAACCTTCTAATAACCAATCATGACCTCTTGGGAGTCCCTCGAGGCTCTCCAAGCCTGGGCCTCCTTTTTATGTTCCCGCAGTGCTGTGCGCCAATTTAAAGTTTCTTTCCAAACAGCACAGAGACATATCAAGATGGAGGTGAATGTTTTCCAACATGCTGTTCCCTAAAGAAACAACCTGTTAGAGATCCTGCTCTTAAATCTTTTATTAGTTAAGACTGTAGTCTTGAACAATAATTATTTCTCCTTTTAAATTTATCTGTGTTAAGAAATGCATCGTTTCCTCCCATGGGGTGAAAGAAAGCAGCACAGCTCTGGCCGCACTGATTTCTAGAATTACACAGGGAGTCAGTGAGAGCTGAATGAAACAGATGTGTTTTCTGTGTCAGATTGGCAGTGGGGAGTGTGGACATGGGGCAGGAAGAGTGGAGATGGGGCGGGGGGTGTGGAGATGGGGCGGGGGGTGTGAAAGGCAGAGATTGTAACAGCAGAAGAGAGAAACTAAATGGGACAAGGATGCAAGTGGTGGCAAGTGAGACACCTTGGGTCAAGAGACTTGAAGGAATGTGCATGGGTTAGGAAGGGCCTCGGAGCTGAGGCTCTAGGAGAAAGAGTTTTCTGGGTGAGTAACAGCAGGAGAGAAACTAAATGGGACAAGGATGCAAGTGGTGGCAAGTGAGACACCTTGGGTCAAGAGACTTGAAGGAATGTGCATGGGTTAGGAAGGGCCTCGGAGCTGAGGCTCTAGGAGAAAGAGTTTTCTGGGTGGGAGATGAGTGTCGGGCAGTGTGATCTCGAATTTGAGACACTGAGTTCATACCAACGTGGTAATGACGAGATGAAGGACTCCGTGGTCAGAATGAATGCTGAGAATGGTGTGGATGGCAGGTTAAAGCAAGATGATAAGGGTGATGGACAAATTTGGGGGTTGATGGTTACCCAGGTGAATATTATGTTTATTACATACGTACACAGGGCTGATTGTGGTGAAGTCTATGAGTTAGGCATTCAGGACACAAAATAATATAGTAAACATTTATCTTCCACTGGTAACATTAGGCATTGAAAATTTTTTCACCACTAGTTTCTATTTACAAATGAAGAAATGAATACGAAATACAAGGACAGCCCAGTCTGCATCACATCTCTCTATGTGGTTCCCCAGAGATTCTGAAATTTGTGTCCATTATTATTGTTTTTTCTTTTATTGAGTTTATTGGTACATTTTAGGGATACAGTACAGTTACATTCATTATTGGGATCTTGTACCTTTACACGACAGGCTTTGGTTCTCATTTCTTCCCCTTGTCCCTGCCCTCCCTTCACCCCCTCATCCCCTTCCCATTTACAAACACTTTGTTTCCATTTTTTCATTTTCTCATATTTTTTCTTTTCCCTTATTCCCTTTCCCCTACCCTTCTCATTTTCCCTACACCTTTAGCCCTTTTATTCCTATTTCATATGGTCAATTATCTCATTAGGATCTTATGTACCATTATAGCTTTTCACACCAGAGAAACTATTCAGCATTTACACGTGTGCCTTATTTATTACACTTAGGAGTACATCCTCAGTATGTATCCATTTTCCTATGAATGAATCTAATTTCTCATTCTTTATAGCTGAGTAGTATTCCATTTTATAGAAAAACCACATCTTTATCCAGTCTCCAACTGACGGGCAGATGGGCTGTTTCCAAGTTTTAGCTATTACCAACTGTGCCGCTATCAACACTGGTATGCATATATCACTGTAGTATGATTTCTTTAATTCTTTTGGAAAGATACCTGCAGAGGGATGGCGGGGTCAAATGGAACCTCTAGTCCCAGGTCCTTGAGGTATCGCCATATTATGGAGATGTGTCTATTACTTTTTCAAATGTATAACATGACCTGAGAAATGTGAGGTGATCTAAAAATCAATGTCCTATATCAAACACATTTTAAAAGAGTTTCTATAAGATTTGCTGGATTTAATTTCTAAATTTCTAATCACTAGTCACACTAAGGTGAGTATATCCTCCCTATCAAAGTACAAAAGGCTTAATGTTTAATTTGTTGGTGAGCAATGTAATGTTGACTTACATTAGCTATGCATTCTTTCTTTCTTTCTCTCTTGTATTTCATCCACAGGGCTCCCTATGAAGGAGATTTCTTCAGCCAAAGCTATACAAATGAGGCAATGACTTACTATGGAATAATCGCCAAGCAGGGCTGATGACATCAAAACAAAGCAGTCTGCTGTGCACTCACTGCATCTCCTATCGTTCCTGTTTCTCAGCCCTGGAGGATCCCTCACTTGTAGCCACACTGCTGTCTGTGGATGTTGTGTATGGCAGAGGATTCGCTGTGGTGGACTGGGAGACCATTTGATCTGGAGCCAGGGAACCTGACTTCTGTGTACTGTGCTGGGGTGTGACAGCCATGGGTATATTTGACTGGGAACATTGAAAAATATTAGTCGGGGCATTTTCAAAGCTACATGTTACTGTCTTCTGTATTCTGAAAGTTCATTTTTGAACTTGCCTCTTTGAGGTGTGTCTGGGGAGCAGCATCAAAGCTGTGATCTGCAGAGCTTTGCTGTGTCTACATATCCTGATGGGGTGATTCTTTCTGTGTGCTTGAGTTCTTCATAGAATGAGTAGCCACTGGTGCTAAATAATCCTAAACTCTGTCCTGGACCCAGGTTCTACTAATATAATTTGTATGACTATGGGAAGATCAGTTGTGTTTAATTCTAACCCCCATGAGGCCTAAGAACTGGACTGAAGGAAAGGGAGCCAAAATATTGCTGCTAAATCTTGAGACTTACTTCATCTTCTGAAACTTAATAGATCTTTAAAATGTTAATACATGTTGTCAGAGGTAGTTTCCACTTTGATATAAACCTTGAAAGTCAAATGTTAAACTGTGACTTGTTCCATTACTTCTAGACTTATGTCACTCTGGGTAAGACCTAATTGAACACCAGTTTTCAAAGATGAAGGACTTGCTTTTCATAACCAGAATCCAAAAATAGCTTTGCACCCTATCAGAGACAAATTACTCCTGATTTCTCATGAATCTATTGGACTGTTCAAATGCAGTCAAATGTTATTGTTAAATACATTGTTTTCCAAAAGACCTGATGATGTAGTGAGACTCATAGACACATTCACTCTAAACCATGCAGATAATTTTCAATAATGTCCCAATCGCAGGATGGAATATGATTCTAGAAGAGCAGAGTCTAGCAGAAGTATGGGATTATTTATCTTAAACCATCATGTCTATAGCATCATCTGTAGAGTTATTGGGACTGAGAAGGTGATTATTTCCATTGAAATGAAACTGAAAATGAAAAAGTCCAAAAAAAGGATTTAGAGCAGATATTATATAGTTTTACTAGAAAGCCATACAGTATTCTACTTTTAAAGTAAGGTAGAACACACTAACATAGAGCTTTCTCTGAAGAAACCTGACATTTTGCATTGAAATAAATCAGTTCAAGACCCCAAGGAATCACTGAGGATTTCAGAGGCGTGAGCCTGGGAGAGGAGCAGTCAAGCGTGGCAGGGCAGTGTTCATTCCAAAAGCCAGGTTTGATGAAGAGGGTCCTCTTCACTGCTCCCTGCTGCTTCCCAGGCGTCCAGGGTTCCTGGGGCAAAGCTGCCCTCACAGTCCTCCTCCTCAGGTGAGTCCGACAGAGCCTCCCGTAGAAGCAGGTTGAGGTCTGCAGTTACAGTGAGTGCTTAAAGGTGCCAATAAAAAGGGAAATGATGGATTTGCACAGCCAATCCAAGCCAACATGGGCCAAAAATTATCTGTGTTCAGGAATTCACAGAGAAGAAGTGATCTTGATAGCTTTATCTCTATGAAGATTGCATGCAAAATGGGGCAGATAGATCATGGCTTAGGGACGTGAGGAGAGTATGGCTTCTCGCTATGGCTGCTGCAAAGATGGAGTTCCTGGTGGGTGACAAATGCTTATAGTTAAATAAAAGTGCATTTGTGAGCATACGTGCATGTGTATTTTCACACGTAAATGTATGTGTTTATAACTTTATCTATACCTGTATCCATACTATCTATATCTGTGTCAGTGTTTGACCTTACACAATCATGTTTTCAGTCTTACAGAGGTTCTACTTCCAGGAACGAACCCCTAGAAACACTAATGGGAAGGAATCCTGACCTCTCCACACTATCCAGAGGAAAACCGCATTTGTCCACTTGTCTCCACCTCAGTTACACTCTCTAAGGCTTTCTTGAGAATCAATTTCAGGTATTTTCCCTTCTGCCACTCGTGCTGTTTCTGCTTAAAGGAGCCAACAAAGAAGTAAATGAAGGGGTTGATGCTGCTGTTCATACCAGACATGAGCACAGTAATGGTACTATAGTAAATAAAGTCACTGGTACTTGTAAACCAGGACAACAGGGACAGAAGGATGCCTACAGGCAGGCCACAGAGGAGGAAGACCAGCACTGTGAGCCCGAGGGTCACATACAGCCTGGTCAGTCTCAGCCTCCTGGAGCCACAGAGAATCCTGACCAGCAAGGCCAGGCTGGACCCACACAGAACCACAAACAAAAAGATCAGCCATGCAGCAGTGATGAAAGACATTGTAGGACATGGATAACAGGAAAACCCAACTGATAAGTAACAATATACATGTACCAGGACGCTCAGTAGCAAGGACAAGGCCCAGAGCAGAGCACATATGACAGCTGACATGTGTCTTGGGCGGCGGTGTCTGTGCCAGATGGGCCGCAGGACAGACAGACAGCGCTCAGCACTAATGGCACTGAGCATGCTCAGGCCAGTGATGTAGGAGCACATAATCAAAGGGAATAAAAACCTGTAAATTGTGCCAGAGGTGAAATTGAAGGCATAGAGAAGGTCATTCACAGAGCCTGTGAGGTGGCAGCCCAGGAAGAGAAAGTCAGCTCCTGCCAGGTTGAGGATGTAGACAGAGACCACGTTCCTGCGCATGCGGAAGCCCAGGAGCCAGAGCACAACTGCGTTTCCTGCCAGCCCAACCAGAGTGAAGATAATGTTCAGCCACTCCAGGGTCAGTATTATCCTGTCAAAGCGAAAATCCAGAACACTCACGTTCATTGGTGTGATTTCTTGTTGAATGGTTGAATTCGAGGTCAGAGACTCTCCACAGGTGTCCCTAGGAATACAAAAAATACTCAGCACCTGTTTCATGCTCTTATTCGTCAGCTCCCTAATATATCAGAACTGCTGTCTTTGTGTTGCTGGGGAAGCGACAAAGTCTGGCCGAGATTAAATAATTAATGGTTGGAAGTCCTGGAACCAAGAGGCAAACCCGTGCTGTGGGTTCTGAATACTGGGCTCTCTCTACTGCAGTATAGATCCTCTATGAGAGGCAAATATTCTATAGTCTAATCATACTGACCCAAACAATTCCTGCCAGCTGTTAGGATGTGTCTCAGAATTTCTTTCTAAGGAAGAGAACAGTCAAGGACAGGATCTAAAGGAAGGATTGTGAACCCAAGTATTACTCTGTCATGGTCCAGATACTATCCCTACATGAAGTACTGCAAGAAGACAGAAACAAACCAGATGATTCTCACGACCAGAATTCTCTATCCATACAGGAGAGGTTGTAGAGATGTGAAAAGGATGTAGCCTCTTACAAGCACATTGTGATGATGGCTGGTCATGGTGGGTTTAAAATGGCTCAGTGTGTCAGCCATTAAAGATAGAGGTCTTTCATTTCCCCCAGATTTTAATGTGGTGTGTGACATTCTCAGTAGTAACTTAGTGAATAAACACATGAAGGAAGAGTATAATGGTAGTAGATCATTTGGAGCAAATTGAAATTTAAGAAAAGGAAGGCTAATTGAAGATATTTTAATAGCCAGTTAAGATGATAAAAATTTTGTTTATCATAGTTATCTTGGGAAGAATAGTATGTTTAAAGAAATTACTTCAGATTGAGTAAATCAGGCACCAGCATCATCATCGAAAGGCTGCCAGCTTCGGGAGCACTCCGATTCATTGTTGCGTGTTCTGTGCCACCATCTGCAGTGGCTGCACTCACATTCAGAAGCTCTTCACTGATGTCCCTAGGAACACAGACAAATGGTTGACCTCTGATGTGTATTTATAAAGTGAGTCCATAAATTGGCTTTGTTGAGGACATAGAAGCATTTTAATGTACAGTGTGGGGTAGGAGTTGAGTTCAAACAGAAATGCCCAATATTATAGAGGATGAAAGGGTAACTGAGGTTGAGGTTGGTCTTGCACTGAAAAGAAGTATTTGAAGTATAAAATATTCAAAGGAAGACAGCTAAGTGTTGTGCTGTGAGGTGTGCAATGTAAATGGACTCCACAGTATCTCCCTGGAGATTTTCATTCTGTTTGTACATAAATGCTTTTGTGTGTGAGGAATCTTTGGAAGGAAATAGAAGTGCAGATCATCAAATGTAAAAGAACATGCTCATGCACTTTATATCTGGAACAAAAGGGCCAGTTTATATCTGAGTGACTATTAACAAGTGACGGACAGATACATTGTCACTTTGAATCCTCTGAAATACCTATAGGATGACAGTAGTATTTCCATTTTACTGAAGATGGAGTTGGAGGATACAAACTGAAGGATTTGTCCTGGACCCACACTGTGAACTGAACCCAGCAGTGCTGCTCAGGATCCATCCCTGTGACCAATAGACTCAGCACCAGAGAGCTGTTGCTTACAAACAGATGAGGGCAAACGCAGAGCAGTCATTTCCAAGTGGGATCTCAACTTTACGGACTAAATAAAACTTAGAATCAATAAATACTTGAGAGAAAGGGAAGACAATGAAATGGGAATGGGGTGAGTTGTGCTTGGAAGTTAAATAGGAGCAGCTATCGAGACCCAGAAACCCTCTCCTTCCTTACAGAGGCAGTCATGGCATTGGAGTCCTGATTGACTTGCTCATAAAAGACACCTCTTCAGGAGGAAAGAGGATGTGTCCTCCCCCTGTGCTGCAGAAACACAAGAAGCAGATGTATCCTTCATGCCTTCTCTTACACAGCCAAGATGCCATAGCCTTGGCCTGAACAAAGAAAATATGTTTGGAAAACTAGAAATTCTGTTCCCACCCAGGACAGTGTATTTTGCATATGTGTTTTAGAGCCACTAGGAAACACTACCAGGACCCTGGAGGGCAAAAGGAGAGGGATTTTAGATCTGTCTCCCTATTTCCTATGATCTCTCTTATTTTGCTCTTTATTTCATCTCTGCCTTTGTGGTTGTGAGTTGAACAGCAGAGTGCTTGTGCCTGCCTGGCCATCCCCTCCTATTGCTACAACTGGTGCTACGGTTATGGTCTCCTCTAGAAATGACTCACCCCTTCTTTTTATAATTTAGGATTGGACATCCTGCTTCACCGATGCTTGTGTTAGGGTTCTAAACTGTGGACTGTCAATTTCCCTTAATCCTGTCTTTCTTCGTGAATAGACACCTAAAGAAATGCTTCTGAGTAATTTCAGTTTTGGATAAACTTTTCCTTTGGGCATCTTCACAAGTATATGAAAGAGAATAACTACAAAGGCAAAAAAAAAACTAATAAAAATTAGATTTCAGAAACCTCAGCTCTTGAGTGAAATGCCTGCAGTTAACCTTGCTCTTTCTATAACGAAAAAGCAGAATTTCCCTGGAAATATTGCACAGGAGTAGGGAGATGAATCAAAATGGAGAATCATCAAGAGAATCCTTTTATGAACACACATATTTGATGCTCCCAGAACCCGCTTTTCAAATGAAAGCCTCATGTCTTCTCCCTTTCCCTGACGGAAGCTCCATGAACCCCGGGTCTACAACACCCCAAAGTAGAAACAGAGCTTCATAAGCATAGACAAAACTGACAAGGTTTGAAAATAAGGAATATGATGTTATATGCACTTACCTTTCTTGCATTCTCCTGTCTGGAGTTAGCAAGCAGATCTGTGCTGAAGGAGGGAAGCCTTTCTGGGACTGATGGACACAGCAGATCTCTTCTCTGTCCTCTAAATCAGGAGCTGCTTATGCGACCTAAACACAACCTTGAGAACAAGTGTTGTTCATCAACAAGCGACACAGCCCATTTGGTTTCCTTCCTAGGGACTGTGGACAAATGAGAGAATAGCGGGTTTTGATACATGAGCTCTTACAGACGTATTTCTGAGCATCTTTCCAGTTTCCACTCACAAATCCACTTCTCTTATCTTATGTGGTTTATGTTCCTGTAAGTAATCGCTATCCTGAAGCCTTTAATTGCCAATTCTGAGCCCAGGCAGCAGCAATGTCAAGCAAAGTGAAATGCTTATGAAGCTTTATAAATAAAGAATGAGGTATGGCCCAGGGTCACTTAAGTCTTGCTATGTCTGAACTTTTCCTTCATGTTTTCTTTACCTAGCAGAAATTCATTCATGTCTGTTTTAAGTCTACACAACAGTCACTCAAAAATCTCCCTGAATCCCATTCTGCAGAGGCCACCACTTCCTAAACTTTCCATTTTATCTGTTATTATTATCTCTCAATATTAAGTTTATGTTTCTTTTTTTCCCCATACTAACAGATGGGTCAAACGCCTTTCTTGCAAACTGTGAACAGTTCAGAACACATAGCATATCCTTCTTTCTCCCTCTTTTTTTATCTGTGTAGAGAATCGGTACCGATATGTAACACATCTTAATTGTTTCACCCCTTTGTCCTCCCTTCCTGTAGCCTTACCTCCATCTCTTTATCTTCACCCGATTTGCAAAAGGTGAATCTCCATATTTCCCAGGATCTAGTTTTCATTTTGCTCTATATTTATATCTTGGGTTTTTATATGAGGGAGTGCTATTCCTTGTGTCCAAATACCGCACTTTCTTTCTTTATTGTTTGTTGGTGGATATATAGGATGCTTCCCTCCTGTTTATCCTATTATACACTGAGCTGCTATAAACCTATATCTCTCTAATGCGATGTCCTTAAGTCTCTTAGGATGACCCCTAGGAGAGAATAGCTGGTCAAATGAAATTTCTTCTTTTTTTCTCAGTGAGTTCATTGGTACTTTTTAGGTATGCAGTACAGTTACATTCATCACTGGGATCTTGTACCTTTACATGACAGGTCTTGGTTCTCGTTTTTTCCCCATACCCCTGCCCTCCCTTTCAAATGAAATTTCTGGCTTTAGTTTTTTTTTGAGGAATTGCAATACTAATGTCAATAGTGGTTGTTCTAGTCTACACTCCCACCAATGATATGGAAGGGTTTCAGATGTCTCTCAATTATAATCTATTTAAGTATTTAGAAGAGTTCTTCAATGGATTGACTCAGTCAGCAAATACTTTGTAAGTATCTTGTAGTGAGTTGGATTGAGTTTTTTTTTTTGTTTGTTTGTTTCCCAATGCAGGTGTACATCAGAATAAGGTGGTGTTGAGAAAGTTTCCTCTTAAGTACACCAGATAGATTGGAATAGAACTCACCCTAGTGACTAGTTTCAGACTTATTTTTTCATATATCACCCCAATTCCCAACATCATCGTATTCTGAGGACCCGGAGGTTAGGATTTCTACCTATGGATTAGAAAGAACACAGTTCAGTCCATTGCAAGATACACAGTGTTTGCAAAATGGCTCAGTCTATCGAAGACATTTTCAATGCTGAAAATAGATTGCAATGTAAATGTGATTAAAAATAAGAAATAATTTACCTGTTGCACAACGCATAAGAACAGAAATCATAGGGTGGAAATCGGGAAAGTTTAGTGTTTATAACTAACAAAAGTACATAAAAATGTCGTGGAGTGGAGGGAGGAAGAAGAATATGGCATATGAGCTAAATTCTTCATGATTATTAATGGAAGACTTCTTTCGTCTCCTTTTTTTAAATTAAGTTTATTGGTACAATCTAGGTATACAATACAGTTACATTCATCATTGGGATCTTGTACCTTTACATAATAATGAGGTCTTGATTCTCATTTCTTCCCCTTCTCCCTGCCCTCCGTTCTTTTGTCTCTTAATATGAAAAAACTGAAAACAGAAACATCATTTTACTATTCCAAACAATAGTAATAACAGAAATACAAAGGAGAAGCATAGAAAGGTAAACTTTGGAAAATGGAATTCAGAGACTTTCACCTTGCTGTCATTTAGGGTTAAATCATACACATGAAATAATTACGGCTACATCAATCAATCAAACCAAAGTGGCCAGAGACAACTTTGAGTGGTCCTCGGAAATGCCTCATTAATTCATTTTAAAGCCTCATACCCAGTTTATAGCGGATGACACTGCTGCAGCCTAGGCCAAGGATTAGCAATGATAGATACCAAAATGTGAATTACTTATAGTGAGATAAACCACATAAGGTGAAATAAGAGAGGTTTTATGTGAGTGGAAATTGGACAGACGCCCAGAAACATTTTGGTGATGATTCATGTTTCAAAGCGCTCCATTCTCTGATTTGTTCTCAGTCCTTGTGTAGGAAATCACAGGACTGAGATAGCATCTTGACAAGCCTCACTTGTTTCCTAAGATCGACTCCAGCTCCTGTACGCATCTCCTAATTTAGAAGGTAGAGAAAGGTCCACTGTGTCACTCAATCCCACAAATGCTCTCACTCATCAGCAGAGATCAGCTTGCTACAATGAGGCAGAAGAAGGCAAAAAAGGCAAGGATACACCCCCATCGTTCTCTTTCCAAACTTTGTTGTTTTCGGTACACATTCACATTACTGGGGCCGGGGATTTAGCTCAGCGGTTCGGTGGCCTGCCTTGCAAGCACAAGGACCCGAGTTCAATCCCCAGTACCAAAAACAAACAAACAAAAACAACAACAACAACAACAACAAAAAACCCCACATTACTTAGTTTCCACTTTAGAGTGTGCTACACAGGGGAGCTGTATGCACAGAACTTCCTTCCAGGAAAGGGAAGATGTGAAACTTGCTTCTGAAAATTAGCTGGTGGCAGACGCATATGTGGGTGTTCTCAATGGGGCCATGCAGATCATTCTTCCGTTTGATCCATCATCTTTCCACTTCTCGTCTTCGATCCAAAGATTTAAATTTGGAGTCATGGTAAAAATGCTTCTTTATCCTTAATTTAAATATCACGAAAACCTGTAGGTATGTCATATAATAGCTGAAATAGTGTAATTTCCAGTTTCATTGGTTTTCTCACTTTCAAGTTTAATTTCCTTTTTATACTGGAGAACGTACAGAAAGGAAAAGGTTACCACAAAGTGAAATAAGTGAGGAATACTTTTACTTGATTACTTACAAAGATATATAGAAGTAAAGAAAATTGATAATGCGTGGTAAAGCACTCTAAGGCACGCAACGGTGAAGTATATTCACCCCACTATTATGAGGACAAATATCATGCCTGACGCATAGCCATTGCTCCCTTTGTACTAGTAAGACAGGATGTCCAGGCAGGTAAGGAAGCACTCCCGTTTCCTACACACAACTTCACAAGTAGAGCATGAGAATTTGAAAATCCAAAGCCCTCTCCTTATGCTCTCTAGTCTCTTGGTAATTTTCCCTCAGTGACCTCTCATAGGCAAAATAAACACTGGGGTGGGAATAAGAATTTCTAGTTTCACTTGCCCATCTTCTGTACAACCAAAACTATGCCAGTTAATCACTTTAAAGCACATCATGATTGATGCAGTTGATTTCGATACCTTTCTACCATGAGAAGAGCATGCATCATGTTTCCAACCAGAGGTCCCTTTTCTAGGTGAGTCTTCAGAATTGAAAGCCAGAAATACCTTGGTTAGTCAGGAGAGGACTTCTGGATTCTGATATGTGTTCCTATCCAGCGTCCACCCAAACCCCTCCCATTTCCTTGGTTTCCTTTTCTTCCATTTCTTGCATTTATTACTGTTGGATTTCATTTACATCATTTGGATGGCCAGCCTAGAACTTACCAGGGAGTTACCACTTTGCTTTGCTCTCATCTGTTTGCAATGAACAGTTCTGTGAGCCTGAATCTCTGGACGAAAAGAATGAATACTGAGGCAGCATTGCTGGGTTCAACGCACTGTGCAAGGCCAGGACAAATTATTCATCCTGGGCTCAATTCCGTCCTCTCGGAATGGACATAATAATCTCATCTCTTACATCCATGAGAGGATTCAGTCAATATTTATCAATCTCTTCTTTTTTTATTTACTCAAACTAGAGACTTAGGAATACTTCCTCATCACTTTTTAAAAATTAATTTTATTGGTTCAGGCATACATAACGATCGCATTGATCACAGGGAATTTGTACCTGTGCATAATGTATCTTTATTTTGTTAATAGTCGCTTGGGTATAAGCTGGTCCTCCTTCTGCAGGTAAAATCTGCATAACGTATCTGTACAGTTCATGCCCTGCACTTCACTTCCCTCCTGAAGAGTTTTCTCACCCAAAACTTTCCGTATTTCCAAGCAAAGTGAAAATCTCTTTTGACTGAGTGTAAGTTTGTCTACCTCTCAGCAGATGACCTCAGCGTCTTCCTTTAGATAGAGGCGCACTTCAAGAATTCTTTTTAGGGCCCAACCTCAACCTCATTTCTGTCTCCAATATATTACTGGACAGTTCAGTGTGAAGTCAAATCCTACCCAGACACTGTTCGCTACAAAGCTTCTAATTGCTCAGCAGAGCCATTTTGTGAACTGATTTAAAAGGAAAATCAGGGCTCAACTGTGGTTTGTGCTCACCATTTTTCCCCTAGGAATAGTGCAGAGTTTCTCAAAATGGGTCTAACCATCCACAGTGATAGCACAGAAGGCAAACTGATGAATACCTCTGTTCCTGGTCCTGTACTCCGCAGACCCATGAAGATTTTGAACTACCTGGATTCCTTCTCAAAGTTGATCACACATAAGTACTTTTAAAAAACTGTGCTCTCCTAAAAAGAATTATGATGAATGAAATTTTGCTCATATCATTTTAACTGAGTGCTTAATACATTAAATCATGTTTTCATTTTTGTTTACTTCTCATCCAAATAGTCCACTATCATTGTATTCCTCATTCACATACTCATTCACCTATATAAACTAATTAAAAACAGTGCGTCATGCGCAGCACTAGACCCCTGGGAAACAGAAGTCCTCCTGCATTTACTGGCCAATACACTGAGCCATGTCTAGCCCCCCCCGATCAACCATCATCACAGTGGTACTAGCAAGAGGTTACGTTCTCTTCATGTCTCTGAAACATCTCCCACATATGGAAGCAATTCTGGTCTTGGGAACATTCTG